ATGATAATTTATCTCATTAACTGCCTGACCTCCACAGACATTGCTTTATGGACTATGGAAATACATTCATAAAATAAAATTTTAAAAACCCAACCAGCCAAACAAAGAAAAATGCAAAACGCCACAGCTCAGATTTTCAAGGTATTGTAGAAGCTTTTGACACCCATTTTGTATTACTTCAAAGGAAAACCTGCTGCAATCCAACGGATGTTACTAGAGAGCTGAACCTAAATGAACTGTCTAGCCTGCTAAGAGAACAGCCCAGAGTAATCAGTAGGTCTTGTTTGTTCTGCCTGTGCCTGGAGCTCTGTGGAGCAGTTTTGAAGACTGTGTGGCACAAAGGTGGAGTTGGGTTGATGTTCCTAAGAAACGTTTTCATTCAGTGTGGGTGCGTTTGGCTTTTTTGAATCGACTGCAGGAGCAGCTAATATTCCATGCCCTGAGAGAAAGAGAAAAGCCTTTAATTGGTTTCAGGAGGCTCGCGTTTCTGCGTGTAGGTTTTTTCCGTTAAAAGTCTGCCGCAGATAGAAATGTCACATCCTGCTTGTTTTACAGCTCTGTTGGCTATATATCAAGATCTGTTCTTCACCGCTTTTATCTAATGCTGGGTACTTTTTCCTTAGAGCTCATGTAGTGCCACTCTTACCTTCTCCCCCCTGACTTCTGCATCGGTTTCAACTGCTGCCACATTTCAGTTTTCCGAGGTGTTAACAGTGGGCGGTTGCCTGAGCTCCTTCTAGTTACAAGTGGTAACGGCAAGAATGATGAGTGGCCTTTTATTTGCCACGCACAATCCAGCGCTACGATGTATGCAGGGAACCAAAGAGCGCGTGGGCGAAGCCTTCGACCCCAGCGGCACTGGGGGGGCTGTGAGTGGCCCTCCTCCCCCCTCGCGCCGTGCTCTGTGCCTCTGAGCTGCTGGAGGGAGCCGGCCGCGGCGTCGGCTCTGCGGTGAAAGTCGCCGTCATCCTTCACAGAGACCGTCCTTTCCGTTGGGGAGTCGTGACTCTGTTTGGGGGTGACCGGCGGCGCCTTGTCAATGCTGCTCTCTCCTCCGCCATCCCCTCTTCTGTGGGCCTCCCTCTTTGCTCCCACGCGGCGTGGGGAGGCTGGCCGGCAGCATCGGGGCTCCCCACCTGGAAGGAGCAGCCAAGCTGAGCCCTTCCTGTGCTCTGACATTGTAATATGGCAGAAGCAGCAGAAGGGAGTGCAATAGGTATGTCTCAATTTATATTGCTCAAATTGGTGCTGGCACATGTTATGTGGAGCTCTTCCTCCTCGACCATTAGATGTTTTTTCTCAGTTCGTGTTCTTCTCTGTATCCGCTGCTGACGGCAGCCCCAGCCCTCCTGATTTAGCTTTAGTGCTCTGCGTGCCAAAGAGCACTTTCAAAGCAGTGGAAATACGTGATCGTAGCACGAGCCTGGTAACATCTTCACAGAAGATGAGAAGTCATCAACTATGGAGGCCACCTAATCAGAATTCTTTACACACAGATAGAAAGGATTCTGTTTCTCTCCTCTGTCTTTATTACAATTCATTTTAGGTTCTTCACTCAAGGGACACCTGCTAACTTCAATACGGTCAGCGTGTGCTTATGTATGATATATAATGAGCTACCTTGTTCCATTTGGGAATATATGTTGCTGTTCACTAGTGAATAGCACACAGCATACAGCCAGCCACAGCCTACTGCCAGAATAAGAGCACTATAAGCAGCTGCATAGCTCTTGGCTTCACATGGCTCCACCAGCCAGACTCCGGCCTGCCGAACTTCCATCCTTGCTCAGAACTACCAAAACTGCTGCCCGTTGCCCGACTGCTGTAATTGTGCAAAGAGCGCTTGTGACCTTTGAGAACTGGAATGAGACTTAGAAATTGTTCCACTGAAGAATTCAGGCAACTCGTCCCTAATGACCTGGCCCGCGTTTGAACGAGTGAAATGCAAAAAAATTATCCGTGAAACTAAAGTCCGACCCATTGCCCAGGCTCTGTGTCTGCCCGGTTACGTGACAGTACAAAGGGGATTTAAAGGGCGCTTCTGGATTTCCATGGCGAAAGGGAATCCCCTGCTAGGATAAAGCTGGAATCTCACCCCATCTGATCCTTCTTCCTTTCTCCCCACGTCAGGGATGTTGTGGGACACATCCAGAGCAGACTGGGACCTCCCAGTTCACCGACAATCCTGAGCCAGGGAAGGGATCCTCCGGGGTGATCCCGGCTGGCACCCAGTAATGGCCATGTGGCTGCTTTCGCTTGCAGTCGGGGTGGTTCAGCCTCAGGCCCGGAATGGAAGGAGGTGGACAGGTGGCTTCCAGCCACGTTTGCCTTCCTCCCCCTTGTGCTTGTGGAGATCTACACCCTCTGTTTAAAAACCAAACCCAAAACGATGACTTTACCTATGTAGAATGTGACTGAAGCTTAAGTAGGTGTTCGGAGCTTTCCTTCTGTACAGTGTAAAGAGTAACGGGAGGGGATGGACACCTTCCTTCATTACACAGTAGGGCCATCAGTCCACCCTGTTGACCTTAATTTTGCAGGCAGTGGTATGATGGAAGTCGCTCTGAGATGACAAAGCCATGCCTAAACCAACCGGCTGATACACTCTGAAAGTAAACAGAAACTCCTCCAACTAACATTTGGTTGGTTGGTCTCGTGATTTCCAGCAGGGAACTTGCCCACGAAGCTACTTCTCCTCTTCCCCGTGTTACAGCCCCTTGCTTGGGCGAGGCTGGAGCCGTCCCTTGGTGCAGGGATCCGGGAGAGCTGCTCTGCCTCCCCAGAGCAGCGACTGGGAACGTGCCGGCGGGGCGTCAGAGCCAGGTTGGTTTGGCATCCTGGGGTTTTGTTCGGATTATGTGAAATGTATCGCACAAGGAGTTAACGGGGCTCTTCTCTACACCTGAGATGAAAAGCGTCGCTTGCACGTACTTTAATTGTAGTTACTGACAATATGGGACGGGCTGAGTAAGTCTTGCAAAACGTATGTGCTATCCCGTGCTTGTTTGTCTGAATCTCTACCAGGGCGTAATGAATTTGTGTTGTGCTAAAGGCTGTTTATGTCTGCCAGGCTGCATTTTTTAATGCTTTATCTGCTGTTAAATGCTCAACCCATCCTCTACACGCTGCCAGATACCCAGATGCACCACAGCCACAGGGATGTCTTTGCTAAACTTCTGTGCTCTTTCCATCTCAGCCACTTTATGGTCCACCTTCAGTCAAACTCACCTCCTGCCTCCCTGTTCGTGCACCAACAAAGCTTCCAGAAAGCGCTGCTGTAGGCTTTGAGGCCAGAGCGATGCAGGTGTAATATCAGGGTCTGGATTAAGAGCAACCAGTTCCCTTTGTCTGAGCTAGGGAAGAGACCTTGGATAGCCAAGATTTTCAACAGTCCCTTGTCCCCTCACGTAGCCCTGCCATCTCTTTCTGGGGGCAAAGCTTTAATCAAGAATCTAAAATCCACCGCAAACAAGGTCCAAGACACATTGGCTGTTACTGATTTGTTGACTATGGAAATTAACGTAACGCTTCTACAGTAGGTATACTTTGTAATTACTATTTAGCTCATTGAAAAGGTTAGCGCATACTGGAAAAGTACAAATCGATATGAAAGTTCCTTCCTGTCTTGCAGAAGCGATGATAAAGAATAAATTATTGAAGAAAATTAAACTTTATAATTGGGGACTGTTCCCCTATTAGTGAGTAAAGCCAGCCCATTAGCATCCGATTTGCATTTTCTACCATGCAGCAGGAAATATTTAAGTTGACAAATAGGATATTTAATACAGCAACAGATACTTGGCAGTTAGATATTAACAACTGTTACTGATGTGATTTATTCACCATTATAAAAAGGGCATTACTATGTGCATATGATTCAGAAATTAACTCCAGTTTACCAAGAGGCCTTGACTGCCTGACCTCTTAATATCCTTATAATGATGCCATTTACCATTCAGAGGCTTATTCAAGTCATTCACTGCTAGATTTGTTTTAAAGGGGTCCACTCTAGGGCAGATATTTGTGCGTTAACATTTCTCATTGGCGTAGTGGGCACAAGCATTTTTTAAGTGGGGAAAACTCCCGGGTAAAGCCACGCTGAGGTTACTGGGGGTGGAGGAGCCTCGCAGAAGCAATCCACGGCGCTTCCTTCTGCTCCCTCTCGCCGTGTTCCGGCCTCACAAATCCTGACTTTTACATGCTTTAACGCTTTGAAATCTTCTTGAGGTTTACACGAGGCTTTTCTCATCGCCTGTATGTCCTGCGCACGGGAGGGGAGGGCTTCCCCTCCGCCGCCCTGCGGGACACGATCTTACGCTCCGATTTCTTGTGTCGTTACGGGAGGATAAATCTGAATTGGCACCACAGAGCAGCAGCGTGAGCGGAGGCGGAACCGTGCCGCACGTCCTGTGGCTTTCTGCATGCCGACGTGCCCGCGGTTTGACACAGCCGGGGACTGCAATGGGATCGGGCTTTGCTGCCCCCGCGATGACCGATACACACGGATTTCACACTTCCCTGCTCCTTTTGCTCAGTTTGTCTTCTGGAGCTTCCCTCCTTCTGTCTCAAAACACCTATTTGTAACTCAAGGCTGACTTTATTTAACACTAATTATTTATTCTTCAGCTGAAAAATCCAGGTGTGATATTTAGTATTTGGATAATTACCAATTTCATGTGATACCGGCTTTACAGCTGTTGAGCTCATCTATCTACTTTTTCTAACTGTTGCTAAAATCTGGGTAGCACAGGTAACTGTTCTGTCCTTAGCATTTTTGTTTTCTCTCAAAAGTTATTTTCAAAGTTCCTGTTTGGAGGTGGTTTATCGCTGCCAATGATGCACCAGTGCAAGGAAACCACAAGTATTCACATCAATATGCATGAAAATAAAAACATAGATGTTTCTTTACACCATTCCTGAGTTTCACCCTTCTTGTTCCTTTTTTTTTTTTTTTTTTTTTTTTTTTTTAATTTTAATGCACCTGTTTGTGTTTTGATTAGGTATGGGCAACAGACCTTGACCTTTGCTATAGTGACCAGCTGGCCTTGACTCAGCTCATGTTGTATGTGACAGATGGAAATCTGGATTGTCACTCCAGCCGCTTTGAAGTATCTCTTGGTTCACAGAAAATGAAAAGCCAACATATTCAGCACCGGGAGACAAAAACTGTAAGCAGTGATTTGTTTACAAATAAAACTATTGATGTGTACTACTGAAAAGTTAAAATCTGTCCTAGATGAGCTGGATCTGCTCCTTTCAGATTTTAAACTGCTCCTTTTAGGTTTTACAAGGTTAATAAAGTAAATGGGACACCATCAAATTCGAAATTAAAGGAAAGGCTCTGCGTGGTTATGGGTACCTGATTATTCATCCTTTCTACTGAGTAATATTGATTTGTGGTAGTAACTAACTTCTAAATATTTTAGGTAGTTTTCAAGTTGTAAAAAATGGGGTAATTCTATATGTTGCAAGGAAAAGGAAGGAGGTGAAAGCACTGCCCTCTCTATAGGAGTAACTTAAAAGCAGTCAAGAAGAAATCTGAGCCTTCAGTTCACGAGCCCTGATTTGGGATCAGAAGTTACAGCACTGAAGTTCTACCCCGGCTTTGTACTTCGATGGACAAAACTGAGGGTAAAACAATCAGGGCTCTGTCAGCAAGAAGGATCCGGACGCCCAAATCCCTCCCAGCTCTCCCTTAAATTAAACCCAAATGTGGCTTCTCAGAACCTCCATTCAGTTCTGCATCCATTCACCGTTCAGTACTAATATGCAGTATTAGTTAGGGACACAGTCACCGGAGCGGGGAGACAACCTCCTAGCACCCCAGCCGAGGCGAGTTCCCGAAGCAGGAGTGTGCAGCCACCCTCCGCGCCGCTCGCTCTCTCCAGACCCGAGTGACAAGGCACAAGGGGGAGAAGCTCCCGTTTGCGAGGCCGGGGGGGGGCCGCCCAGCCCAGCCCTGACACCTCCCTGCTCGGTCTTTCCGTTCCCTCCTGCCAGGTCAGATGGAGCCTCGGTGCCCCGCGCTGGGAGCAGGCGGGTGCGCGGCTCTGCGTGGGTACCGCACGCGGAGCCGGGGGGGCTCGGCGCCAGGGGTTTAGGTACTGAAATGAGGGGTGCTGCGCCGCTTGTTGCTCCTGGATCTCACCTTTAATCCCTCTGGAAGCCTCTTCAGATTGTGCCCGCAACGGTGCCTCCCCGGGGTATGATTTTAAATAAGATGATATTTGGGGATTGCTTTGAAACCCACTGTCACAGAAGCATGGTTAACAGATGACTTGTTTATAACGCTGATTTCTTGTCTTAGATCAGTCTTGGTGCAGGATTTACTATGGCTCTGAACCTTGAGACCGCCCCTCTAAAAAAGGGAAGAAAGGCCTTTAGATAAATCACAGAATAATAAATGTATGTGTAGGTATCTATACACATATAGATATAAACCAGAAGCTGTTTTACACATTTTGACAGAAGATTCACGATTCCCTTTTTTTCATACATAGAGGAGGAATGTAGCACCATTCCAAAAATGTCATGGAGCTATAATTTAGAGGTTAATGAGCTCTTGATCTATTGTTCTTGTCAAGCAACCACTTTTAGTTGGAGAAAAGTAAATTAGATATGATTAGTCCCAGTAGTACAAGTTTTAGAAATGAAAAGTAATCAAGTAGCAACTTTTTCTTAATTAAAATTCTGTCAGAATTAACATAAATTGTCACTATATCCTTTATTTTTTTTCTTTCTGTATTTCAGAGGGTTTTATCTCCTTAAGGGTTAACTACAAAAATGCCCTCTCTCAGGAAAGAATCTTTAGCAAAAGAAACAAACAAACCAAGAGACAAATGCTTTTTTACAGCACATGATCTGTAATGAATGATTAAGTAAAACACTTTGTGTAAAATTATGATGTTAATAATGATTCTGTCCCTTTTAATTTATTATATATTCTCAATCCTGGTAGGTTTGATTTTGATAAAATGGAGCAGCAACTGAGTTTGTGTGATGATTTTATTTTTAGAAATCCTTCTTTGAAAGAACAAATTTCCTAGATACTGCTGCTACTGTAATTATGTACAAAACCAATCACTCATTACAGTTAGGATACATTATCTTCTAGACAGATGAGGCTAAATAAGCAACACATTAATAATTCATACTGCAGTTCATTATGCATGTGTATGCATGCTTTGTAGCTGAAATAAGCACCTCATCAACCTGATGCCAACCCTTAAACAATAGTTCTGTGTTATTGCAGCCACATTCAAGTTTACGCTTGTTAAACTGCTACTTGGATTATTTTATCAAGCATTCATTTATTTGTGGTCCCCTACTGCAGAGAAGAGATTTTGGAAGCTCCTTTTTTAAGTTAATGACTTGAGCAATGGGTGTTATTAATTCTCAGAATATTATAAACATGATTAATTTTCAGGCAGAGATGTATTATATAAGGATTTCAACTATGTCAACTTAAATGAGTCAATGTCAAAACAAATATCATTTTAGAAAAAAAGACTGTAAATTACATGCTTCAACGTGCAGTATCCCCACTCTGAATGAACAGTCCGGTATTAAAAATAACATCGCAGGCAAGCCTTGCTTTAGGAGAACATCTCTCTTCAGTTCTGCTCAGTGCAACATCTCTGTTCTTTTGTCCTAAGCACTGATAAGAGTTTAAACTCAAATGCAGTACTGATTTTTATCCATAGTATGAACTCCACTGGTATCAGTTATATAGCTCCTTGGAGTCACTGCGCCTAGTCTCCTCAAGGACTTGCTGGAAAAATCATGCACGCTAATGCTGTAACAGAATGCTCAGTCTTGGAGAAACTCCATTTCAAAAAACTACTGATTATCTGCTCTGGAATTGCTGCCATCGAGAAGAGCTGACTCTAGAACAACGTATGCTACCACAGGGCAGGATGGATTCAGAGATTCCACTCAGAATGATGCCACAGGGCTCAATGAATTACCAGTGAAGCTGTGAAAATATCAAAACGTGGCTCAGAAAGAATGATTCTGTAGCCCTGATCTACGATAACAAGGTTTTACATACAGTGTCGGGGGAGGATTTCATTTTGTTGCATGGAAACATTGACGCTCAATAGACACTGCGATGAACAGGAATTCCTCCAAATGGAGTCTTACTCCACACTTCCATGAGTTCACTGAGAAAAAGCCATTTAAATAGGAAATTGTTGGTTTCTCATATAAACTGGTATGAAAATAAAGAACTCTGCGTTGTTTTCTCCAGCCTTCTCCAACAAGCAATCGGTGTGCAGTAGCAAGCAGTCAACTGAGGCACTCCAGCCTTTCCGTAATCTGCTATAATGTTTTCCTCCAGATGTGTAAAGCTCGTGGTGTTGGATTTGACCTCCAGGTACGAACGGGAAAGATTAGAAAAGGTGATATTCACTCTGCGTAATTTCTGTATGTAAATTCTAATATGGTGAAGCCACTTAGCACAATGTAAAGTTTAAGTGTTCTGTTTAGCACAGTACAATGTTTAAGTGTCCTGTGAAAAACACAGTGAGGCGTTGCTCTACGGTTTTGTTGAAGAGGGCCTGGTATAGAACAGAATTCATTTTATTTTCAATTGTTTTCATGAGGCTAATCAATGAACTCTGAACTGCATAAAGATCTTCAGTAGTTTCTGTGCAAATTAGTCTAATATTGTAACAGTCACCTGTCAGCTTACTTTAGCTGGGGTGGGAGTCTGGAAGAACTGAGGTGCCTCCCTGATTTGGCTTAAGACTGGAAGCAGTGAAGGATGAAGCGTATTTCCACATGTTTATGTTACACACCAGGGAGTGAGCCGGTGTCTCTCTCGGAGACGACAGGGAGAAGGCCGTCCCGGCGGGTTGGTTCGCACGGCTCTGTGGGCAAAGGATTGCGGGGGTCAGCCCAGGGCTGGGCTTGGGCTTAGGGCTGTGCCGGCACCGGGTGCTCAGGAGAGCGCCGGGCCCTTTCCCACACCTCTGTGCCCAGAGGATACACCCTGGGAGGCCCGGAGGGCGGGTGGTGATGGAGAACAGCAGGAGGAACGAAGAAATGAAAATGCTGGGGGAGGAAGCGCTGAAGGCTTATGAACAGAGTTGTAAAAGAATGAAATGGAAGGGTTTAGAAGGTGTTACGTGAGACAGAGCAGCAGATAGCGATTTCCGATCCTAGGGCACGGGGCTCTGCTGGGAAAGGCAGAGTTTTAGGGGTTTTCTCAGTATAAACCTTCCTCGGGGATGGCACCTGCTCACGCGGTAACTGTCGCTTAGCGCATCTGAAAACCAAACTGTGAGTTTTACTGCTGACCAAACTGTCACCAGTATCAGGCCCGTGACAAACCAGAGCAGAAGGTTAATGGAAGTTCATGTCCTGTGTATACCTAAGGTGAAGTATAAGTTTTAAGAACAGGAACACCTCAACATATTTTCACTGTCTTTCAATTGAAGTGTGTGAAAGGCTTTTAGGGGTTAACCTGTCTCTTGATAAAAATAACTGCGTAAGGAGATAATTTTTAAGAGACTTATGACCATCTCTTACTGCTTTGGAACAATAATATTTGCTATCAAATAGACTCTGCTGTATGTATTCTATTTACATAATGCATTGTATTCTCTATAATAAGAGCAATAATCTCTTTACACTGAGCAATAACCCATTACACACAATTCAAAACTAGCCTTTCTTAGATATGGTTATCTACTTACTGTCCCTGGATAATACATTCATTATAATTATCGCTATTTTAGGAATAATGAAAGCAACTTCGTCTTTTTATTTAACAGGAAAAACAGGGAACAGTTTTTCTATTGTATGAAGATCAGAAGCGATACAGGCTGGGAATGATGTAAGTACACCCTGTCACCTCCCTAGTCTGATGCACAGTTGGGAACACACGTGAGCTGAAGAGTGACGCCGCAGCGAGGGCTGGCTCGGGCTCCGACAAAGGTCTGGGAGGAACTGAACCATCGGGACACCACGCAGTCAAGTTCCCTGACTGTCACCTACTGCTCCGAAAAGCAAAATGGCTTCTTGCAAGATTGGCCTTTTGGAAAGTTTCAGGGAGGCTTTGAGCATTTTAGTAATAAAAAGAGGAATCTGCTTAGATCCAAGCCTGACTGCACTGCAGCCTAAAGAGCTGCTGCAATTATCTTCACAAGAGCCAGATTCACTGTCAATAGCCATCTAGCTGTGAGAGCACACGGATTAGCACAGGCTTACTTTTACAGGCAACATTATTAAAACCCTAACTATACACGATGCAAAGAAGGCTGAAGTTGAATGCCTCTCTATATTGTTCTTCACAAAGGGATCAACAGCAGTCAGGCAACAGCAGGTCTGATCGTTCAGTCATTCTTTAAACGTATGAACCTCTCCTAAGAAGTCTAAGAAAGCAGAATCTGCACAAATCTACTATACACTGATTGAAAACCTCTCCTCGGAGAGAATTTATGTAAAGTTTACTGCCAAAACAGGGCGTAATGAGTGAAGGGCTGAAACAGTCTGTGCTCAGTCTGTCCTGTATTCCTTTGATGCCGGAGGTATTTCATTAATGACCTGGGTAAGAAAACAGCTTCCTCGAGTGCTGGATGTGACTGCAAGTATTTTGGAGGGCAGGAAGGTAATTCAAAATTATCTCAACAAATTGAAGAAACAATCCGAAAAACAGAATTACATTCAGTTGGAACCAGGTGCAAGAAATTACACTTAGATAGCAGTAATGAATATGAGGAACAACTAGCTTGAAAGAAGAGGATCTATGAGTTACCAGTGGCTTAAAAACTGCCTGCAAGTCACGATGGCATGATCTTATGCAAGAAGGCAAACAATATAACCTGGGAGATGCTGGCAGTAATCCTTCTGTTCTACTCAAAAGGAAGCAATGAAAATGTTTAGAGTTCTAGAAAGCATGGCTTCCAAGGCAAGTCTAAAGGGGGCGGGGAGCAGGAGGCAGAAGTGAGATCTGCTAAGAGTCTTCAAGCACATAAAAAGCCTCAGCGGGAAGGAAAAATCTGATTTTCCATGTCTTTGGTAATAGGACAAAAAGAAATGAACTTAACCGGCAGAAAGGAAGATTCATGTTATGCTTAAGAAAAATTTCTGATCGTAAGGGAAGAACTAATTAGGTTGTTCGGTGCAGTTGTCACTGACAGTATTTAGTAACAGATTAGACCAACCTCTGTCAGGATGATATAAGTAACATTGATCCTGCCCGAGCACAGGGAGCGGACTAAATGAATCCTAAAGATTGTTTCTGGGGCTATGACTCTTTCAGCCTGGACTGAGCATCCTGTGGATGAGGCTCCTGGTAGTACAGAAGTCAGCCAGATGCGCTTAAAGCGTAGATATTCCTGTACTATACTGCACTCACTGCAGCCACGATGTAGGCAGCTTACGTGACTGAGCTGTGAGGTAAATCTGAAAGAAAAACCACCAAACAAGAACTTGTAAAATGTCTACAGGAGTCCTTTAAAAAGTGATTGAGGCATCTCAAAGTGCTCCATAAGCTGTTCAACTCTCCTAACGGCCCACGGATGCTGAAAGGCGAGCTCTTTCCTTCCCTGACCCCAGCTGTGGAGTCCTCCTCCCCCTGACCCTCCTCTTGCACTGTCACTGGTCCTTTTACACCTCTCCAGGAGCTGATCCAGCTCAGTAACTCAGCAGAAAGCTTTCTTTATTGCATTGGTTTTCTGTGAGGCTGAGAGAGAATCAGTCCATAGTGAGCACCAGGGTTGTGCAAGACAGATGGGGAGGAACTGAAGAGAGGAGAAGGACTCGCCCTTTCCAGAGTCAGTGGCTCTTGGACTGGCTTGTCCCCGGTTGTGTGATTTCGCTCTGATAGCCACGTACCTTGGGAAATGGAATCCTGGCCTCACATCCTCCCTACGCTCTTGCTCACTCTTTTGGAACAATACATCATCAGTATTGCTCCCCCGGTAAGAAACGTAACGATACCGCTTAAATCACCAGCCTGAACTGGCAGTTATTAATATACTACCAGAATATTCTCAAATGTATCTGCCATGCATTCTGATCCCAGATTTGTCTTCCATCACATTTTCAATGCGATTTCATTACCTTAGTTTGGAAATACTTCCAAGACTGCAACAGTTTGACCCTATAAAATCACTGAACTACCTGAAACATCCCTGTGAATTATCATCCATTTTACTACACTGGAGATCTACTGTCAGTTCCAGTCACTAAATGAGGTACGTTCCTCCTCAGCGAAATACCCTGTTCCGTAAGATCCTATGTACTGAGAAACCAAAGCCTCAAAAGCTACAACAATCTAAGAAACGCTGATACTGCTGAAATTTCTCTTTCAGATTTCTTTCACAAATTGTAGGCAGAAGCAACAGTTCTTCCGAACTCATCTAGGTGTTTAAAGTGTTCTACTGTCCTGGTCCTAACTCAACGGTAGCCTTTTGCTTGGAGTAGCCGAAACCTTACTGCTTACTTTTGCTAAGTTGATTAATAAAAATTATTTATTACACAAATCCTTTCTGTTGACAAGTTAAAATGGAGCCTCATCTTTCATATCTCCCTGAAGATTGCCACCTTGTGAGATTGAAAATGCTCATTAAATTCCATCACCAGACAGGCACAAATGAGAGGGCGATTGTTTTTAAGCATGTGAAGGGAATCACTGGTAAACTCATTTGTTTGGATATCATTAACAGAACAATCGGCGAGGATCTCCAGGGGGTCCTCATGACCTTTGCTCGCAATCTCTTCATCATCCATCAAGAAATATCAGCACCTAATATGCAAGGCGAGACCAATTTTAAGGTGAGGTGTTAATTAACTAACGATCCTGGTTAATTTCTGTACAAGGGCTGAAAATACCTCATGCTGTATCATAAACAAGTGCTAAACCATTCCTTTTTTATTGTTAGCGGTATGTATTTTACAGTGTCTAGGTCAATATAGTAAGTCTCCCAATGAACCTGTTAGTTAAATTTAAGTCTGAAACTTTTTCTTTGAAAAGAGACATACTTCAGCGCGAAATTATCTGTACTCTAATGCTCCAGATCGTCCTTTGTAAGAGCAAAGGAGCTATTGGCACTGCCTCAGACAGTTCTGTCACAACTGTCTGACTTATTTGAAAAATCAAGGTAGGACTCTTAAATTAGAAACAAACTTCTCAGTTTATAATCGCCCCTCAGATTATTAACACGGATTTCTTTTAAGCAGGCAGCCACCGAGTACTTAACCCATGAGTTCGCACCTCTCACCCCACCATCCATTTCGCACGACGGTTTTGTTCCCCATTTTCTCTGCTCGCTGAATCCGGCGGCAGCGCCCATCCCTGCGTGCCAGAGGATGCTCGGGGGCGGCGCGGGGGGAGGCAGGACAAAGCACCGGGCCCTGTCGCGCTGGGGACGTTCCCCCAGGAGCGCCCACCTTTCCTGGGGAGCGCCTTCGTGACGACCTTGCTGGCAAAAGGAGGCAGCCAAGCAATAATGAATCCGCCCCCCTGCCCTGAAACAAGCGCTCATTACAGTGCTGCCTTTTGATTCCAGAGAATAGCTAAACTTCCCGGAGGGAGTTCTTTTGCTGCCCTGCATCACCCTTAACTTTATAATAAGTTTTGAAGATCCTGTCTGGAAGCCTTTTGTAGAAGGGTGAAGGGGAGCACTGTGTTACAGATCTGCATCTTAAATCACACCACATAATTTATATCCGATTCTTTCCAGTGCTAACTCTGACTATTTTTTCCTCTGACAAGCAGAGTGTGAAATGATAGTTTTAGAGACGATATAATTAAATTTCAACATTACAGAATAAAGAAACAAAAAACCCACCCTTTTTTCAGTACGAGGGAATGAAAAGCAACCATTGAGGAAAAATATAAAAGGGAACTCTTCTTCGTAGTAAGTTAACAATGATTTACATATGTAAAATAGAACACCTGTTAGTTAATTAGAAGTACAAATTGCAACGAATTGTAATTTTTATTTACCTGAGATTTGTACATATTCACTAATAATTGCCCCAATGTAATAGTAAATTTAATTGGTGCATCATGTCCTGTGTAACTCCGGTTGCTTTTTCAAGGCAAGTACTACCAGCTGTGCATTTTGGCTGCTAGATTTCATTATAATGCCCATTAAATAACTTGTATTCCTTGAATCTGTTACAGATGGCAATTCAAGATATTGAAGCAATTCTAGGAATTACAGCAGAAAACAAACTGAAATTGGAAGAAGAGCAACCTTCGAAAGCAGATGCTCTGAAAGAATAGTTAACGGAAAATGTTTAAGTGCCTTATTCTTTATGCTTCTGGAAATGCTTTCTCATCTGTAAGAACAGGTTTGGTTTTCCTTCTGCACTGGCATGTGAAGTAGCATAAACTGAGACAGTACATTTCCACTGTTTCTGAGTGCGGTGTTTAGAATAACATCCCTTCTTTCAGAAAAATAAACCGTTAAAAAGCAGAGGATCATGATAAATGCTCCTCATGTTCACACTGTCATTCCTCAAGTACAGTATCTGTTCCTAAAATCTTATTAATAGGGGTCACCCTGTCTTCGACACTAAATCAGACTAGGAGATCGTACTCCTTTGAGGAGAGTCCTGTAACCCTAAATTTCCTTTCAAACCTATCGTCTTCTAAAATAGAGATTTCTGACATGAAAGTAAGTCCAGTGTGTAAATAAGTCCACCGAAATGCCATCTTATCAGTAAGGCCAGCAACCCAGACTCCTTGTCAGAACTGACTGTCCGTATTGTTATCAGTTTGCGATTTCTTTTGTGATCTACAGACTTTTGCAGCAGCTATGTTCATTTTCAAATTATCAAAAATAATAGCACTAGTTCAACAGATTCTGAGAGAACCATTAGAATTACAGTTGTACTATGATTCCCAGTATGCCAGGATTTTTGCAGATCTCTCTGCCCATCAGATGGATTCTGTACTTGAGATACTGATGATTTTTTTTTTTTGGTCACAATTGCTGTGCACTGTTATGTAAAAGGACAACAGTTACATTTGTAAAATTATCTTTATCCATCAAATCTCTTATATCCTAAAAGACAACACATTCTAAATTTTACTACAGAAGAGTGCATCTTCTCCATCGGATTGATACTAATGTCTCAAGCACAGCACGTATCTTTGAGATTACTTCCCAGAAAGTTCAGGCAAAACCATTTTTTAAGATGAATAATGAATGTGACCAAGCAGTTGCAGCAGATCAGTACTCAGTTTTTCCAATGCCCAAGTCTTTGGTCCCTTAGCTTTATATGTTATCTTTCGTGTAAGCCTTTTCTATTTTAGTCACAGAGGTAATCAATTGTGGATGAGAAGGTTTGCATAAACGCTAATCAACGTTTCAAATGAAAATCTAAAAGAGTATTTTTGTTTAATTCATTTGGTTATGTTCCTTTCTTACATGTAATCTCAATATGGTGTTGGTTTTGGATATACCAGAGCCCACACAGATTTTTCTAACATGAAATTGAGCCAATGAGTGACCTTCCTGGAAGTCTTTATTCTTTACCGTGAGAAATGAAAGTATCAGGTATTTTTGGCTGTGGTAGGTACAACAGTGATCTCACTTGACATGAAATAATATGCCAAAAAGCACAGTATAAACTGCTTATTAGTTCTTCCAACAAGAGAAGATACATTTGTTCTCTGTTCTACTTCGAGGGGCTGTAGAACAGGATGTAGTTCTGACTTTTTTTCTCACCGCATTTATAACACGCTCTCTGCTATTTTACTGCTAAGCAGCTCTTTGTGGATTTCTCACCTCATTTCATAGCCAAGCTATACAATGTCCCCGTTTGGTCAGTAGAAGCAATATCCTGGGGGAGAAGGAGGCATAGGAGAGCATGGCAGTACCAACCTCGGAGTCAGCTCGTTTCTTAAGGGTTAAGGAAAATTAAGCTTTGTTCCAAGCCAGAACAACATAAGGTCTGAGAGGCTCATTAGTTCACTGGCACTTAATAGACTGCAGTGTCCTAGGAGTAAATGAAACCTGCACTTCCTTATGTCTTTGTTCTAGTCTGACAAAAGAAAACTGTACCTGTTTTTGCAGGAAAGAAGTGACCTGAAAGTTCCCATGGTGAGAGAGATTTCTCAGTATGTGCAAAGTGTGAAACGTATTTTGAGGAAAAAAAGTTTTTAATTACTATTAACACTTCTGAGCGTTGAGCTGATGGAAGGATTGAAACTGCTTCACAAGTTTCTCACATTCAACTCCCATGCTGTTGGTGCCAAAAATGTATTTTTTTAGCAATACAGCAGATATAAAACTCTAATCTTTCAAAAAAGGTCAGAAATACAGTCATGATTGTCCTGTTCACACAACCATATTATTTATTCCCACTCACTTAAGGAATAATAGAATTCTTGAACCGTAGCTTGAATTTCAGAACATGATCTAAACTGGGAAGAAAACAGAGCCAAGTGCAAATTGAAAGGTGGCCCAGGTGTGGCTGCTCATCAGAAACTGCCAGAAATTCTGCAGCTAAGGACAGCAAAAGCCCAAGCCGGTTCCCCAGCTGCAAGGTGTGGAGGAATGCTTGTGGAAGATGAGAGGCAGTGGGGTTTGGCATCAACTGCAGAAAATGCAGACAATTAAAATAAAGGTTTTGTGCTCCTGCTGGGCCAGAGCTGCAAATGAAGACGTGCATTCAGCTGACAGCACTTCATGGGCTCGGTTTTTGCAAGAACTGACATACTGTCTGTAGCACACGTCCTACCCATTTCAGGCTGTTCTCCTGAGAGGACATTACCTGGAGTCCATACTAGAAACCGGGTCTCCCTTTTTAGCTTTTTAGACAGTTGGGTTCAGAGCCTTAAAAAAAAAAAAAAAAAAAAAAATGGCATTCAGCCCAAGTTTCCACTTTTAGAATGACAACTCTGAGCACAGAGCAAAAAAGTGGTTCATCAGCACAACCGCTTCAGAACTGTCTTCTGAAATAAAGTATTCACCCTACCCATTTCCTGAGAGATCTGATATCTCATTCAAACAGACAGTTCAGGAGAATTGACCACCTTCCATCTATGTTAAGGTAACAAATCCCTGGAATTTAAAGACTAACCCCGTCCTCGGCATTTCAGAGCGATTACCTAACATCACTTCCCATTTAACAAATCACCTATCGTAGATCTGAGCTGCTCCCTGTTACAGTATACAGATTCCCTGTATTTCATTCTAGACTACAGATTTTGTGATAGCAATTGGGCACTAAAGATCAGGAACTACAATCCCTGACAACCTTCATGAATCTAATTTAATACATTATCTTGACTGAAGAATGGTAAGACTGATTTTCAGCTTCATCGTGAAGATGTGCATTTCAGGAGACTGTTTTGATGTAAACATGATCAGACTATACCAGAGTCCAATGAACACAGAGACCTGAACTGTGCAACCAAATATTATTAACAGAAGACAGTTGGAAGAATGCTTCGTAATCCCTCCAGCCTCATCTTTAGGATGTTTGGTCACGATTCTTGCATACTTTTCAAGTACGTGATGTTTTGCTATGTATTTGTAAATACAGATGCTACTCCATTCCATTTGTAGTACATTGTGCAACGAGAGATGCATCTACATTCTCCTAAGGGCAAGGTTACGCTGTCTGAGGATGAAGGATTTTTTTTTCCCTTTTTCTTGCACTTTTCACAACGAGCAACACAAAGTTAACAGCAAAATACCTTGAAATTAATACTTTTAAAAATCAAAGAAATCATCATACGTCTGCTTTACAGGAGGTCATTTTGACCCTGAAATCTAACAGCAGAATATCACTCTTCAGGTGTAATACATTAGCTCAGCCCTTCACCCTAGCAAGCCACGGTATCAGCTTCCAACTTCTATCCTCAGCTATTGTTGCCACTAATAAAGAAATATATTAAAACTAAGTATATACTCTATTAATTATAGGAAGGTAAACTCGAGTCCAATTTGTTACTATGATTAATAATTACTGTTTCTACACACGTGTAGTACATTAAATAAACAGGGTACATTGTTGGGTAGTAATTGATTAATTCATACTACGTAACTCAATGGCTTAAGATTTCTGAGTTTGAGATATTGCTTGCAATTATTGAAAGGCAAAATCTGTTCCCATTTCTCAGTTTACTCTTCTGTACGTTCTTGTTCTCGAATCGACTGTTCAGTGATTCAAAAGCTTAGTTTTTATTTAGAAAAACTGTATCATGGCATACTAGTTATAAAGTATTTCTCTCCGAAGGGGTCTAACGCTTTCAAAGAACTATTTTTAACGGGGTATCGACGTCAAATTTCACCAAGTAAAATCAACGCAGCTCAACACATTTTTCCCTGAGCACACGGTAACCCGGCTGGGGCTGCAGCTGGGAGACGAGACGGCGAACATACACGAGGCACCCGTCGCCGCGCACGCTGCGGCCAAAAAAAAAATCTAAAAACCTAACTGCCCGATTTTTTGCGATTTTTCGCCCTCGGGGGAACGAGCGCTGGCCTGCGGCCCTCTCCGGCCACGATGCCTGAGCGCCCCTCGCTCGGCCGGGCCGCCTCAGCGCGGGCAGCTCGGCGGCGCGCTTTCCCCCGGCGGCCGCCGCCCCCACACCAGCCCCACCGCCCACGCCGCGTCCCGCTCCGTGGGTGCCTCCCCACAGCCACCGCCCCTTCCCGCCCTCCGGCGCAGGCGCGGAGGCGGCGCAGGCGCGGAGCCCGCAGCTGCTCGGTGCGGAGCGGTGAGGGAATAAGCGCGGGGGGGGGGGGGCGGTTTCCCCGCGGGATGCGGGCGCTGAGGCGGCTGCATGAGGTGGCCGTGGGGCTGCTGCTGTGGCGGGGGGTCACGGCGGCACCGTCCCGTCCCGCCGCCTCCGAGGTGCTGAGCCAGCACCTGCGGCAGCGCGGCCTGCCCCACTGGACCTCGTACTGCGTCAAGTACAGCGCGGTGCGCAACGACCAGTTCGGCCTCTCCCACTTCAACTGGCGGGTGAACGGCGCCAACTACCACGTCCTGCGCACCGGCTGCTTCCCCTTCATCAAGTACCACTGCTCCCGCGCCGCCCCGCAGGACCTGGCGCTACAAAACGCCGCCTTCACCGCCCTCAAGGTCCTCAACGCCGGTGAGTCGCGTCCCGGGCCGGCTCCCCTCAGCTTACCTCGCCGGCCGTGAGGCGGGCGGACAGGCGCTGCCCTTCGCCGCTTGTGTCCTCCTGCAGCCGGAGTGAGGGGCGGGAGGCGGGCGGGCAGCTTCCCCCTCAGCCGCCGGGCTTGTTCCCCGCCTCAGCTCCCCCTGAGTGTCCCCGCTTCAGGCGCCTCGTCCTCCCGCCCCGGCGGCGTAAAGAAAAGCGGATCGTGAAAACGCCCGAGCGGGGCCGCGGAGCCGTAAATCGATACTTTTCGGAGCGGCGGATTTTTTTTTTTACCGACTTGGTGTTTCTCTGCCCAAGTTGTGAGAGAGAAAAATTAAACGGCCCTAAAGCAAACGGGCGAGCGCTTGTTATTTAAATGGCTAACAACAGTTGGCATGGGTCGTTTTCCACCCAAAAACCTGTGTTCTGTTGCTGTGGATGAAATTCAGTTCTCTGAGCGCTAGATGAAGCGAAACGGTTTGTTTCCTA